CATCTTGTACCAGTCAGAATTCCTATTATTAAAAAGTCAAAAAATAATAGATGCTGGCAAGGTTGCAGAGAAAAGGAAAGACTTATATGCCACTGGTGGGAATGTAAATTAGTTCAGCCACTGTGGAATGCAGCTCCATCATTTCTCAAAGGACTTAAAACAGAATTATCATTTGACCCAGCAATCCCATTATTGAGTATATATCCAAAGGAATATAAATTGGTCTACATTAAGACACATGCACACATCTGTTCAGTGCAGCACAATTCGCAATAACAAAGACATGAATGCAACCTAGATGCTCATCAGCAGTGAAATGGTTAAAAAATATATAGTACATAGATACTATGGAATACTATGCAGCCATGAAAAAGATTAAAATCATGTCCTTACCAACAATGTGAATGGAGCTGGAGGCCATTATTGTATGTGAATTAATGCAGGAACAGAAAACCAAATACTGCATATTCTCACTAAGTGGGAGCTAAACATTGAGTACACATGGACACAAAGAAGAGAACAATAGACACAGGGGCTTACTTGAGAGTGGAGGATAAAAAGAGGGTGAGGATCAAAAAACTACCTGAGGACAAAATAATTTGTATACCCAGTCCCAGTGACATGCAATTTACCCATGTAACAAACTTGCACACGTACGCCCTGACTCTAAAATAAAAGTTGGAGGGAAAAAAAATGGATGATAAATTTAGTGTAAAACTATAAAAATTTTGAAAGAAAACACACAAGAAAATCTTTATCAATAGCAATTACTACAGCTCCAAAAAATAAAATAAAATAGAATAAAGCTATAAATCTACAAATCATGGGGTTAAGCAAAGCCATCTTAAATATGACACCAAAAACATGATCCATTTTTTTAAAAAAGGGATAAAATGGGCTTTATCAACACTAAAAACATTTCCCCTGCAGTATACTAAGATAATAAAAAGGCAAGTTATATACTAAGAGAAATATTTGTCACATATATGACAAATAACTTTTATCTACAATATATAAAGACTGTCAAAACTTAATAGTAAGAAAATAAACCACCCAATTAAAAAACAGGCAAATAATTTGAACTACACTTCACCAAAGAGAATGTAATAGATGGTAAATAAGCAAAGGAAAGATGCTCAACACCATTAGCTATTATGGAAATGCAAATTAAAGCCACGATGATATCACCACAAACCTATTAGAATGGTTGAAATAAAAAATAATGACAAGACCAAATTCTGAGAAGGATGCAAAGCAGCTGGAACTGTCATATATTACTGATGGGAATGAGAAATGCTATAGGCACTATGGAAAACAGCTTGCAAGTTTCTTATACAATTAAACATACACTTAACTTATGGCCCAGCAGTCCCACTCCTAGGTATTTACCCAAGAAAAATGAAAACTTATATTTCATACAAAAATCTGTATATGAATGTTTATAGTAGCTCTAGTCGTAACTACCCCAAACTGGAAACAACCCAAATGTCTTTAAACAGGTCAATGGATAAACAAACTGTGGTACATCCAGACAATAAAATATTACTCAGCAATAGAAAGGAATGAATGCTTGATACTTGCAACAACATGCATCAATATCAAAGGCATTTTGCTGAATGAAAGAAATCAGTCTCACATACAAATGGCCAACAAACATATAAAAATATATTCAATACACTAATCATCAGGGAAATACAAATTAAAGTCACAATAGGATATCTCCCCATATCTGTTTGAATGGCTACTACAAAAAATTAAAGATAAGTTTTAGAGAGGATGTGGGGAAAAAGGAAACTTATTACACTGTTGGTGTGAACGTAAATTAGTACAGCCATTATGGAAAACAATATAGAAGTTCCTCAAAAGATTAAAAATATAATTACCACATGATCCCACCAGCAACCCCACTTTTGGATACGTATCCAAAGGAATTGAAATCAGTATGTCAAAGCAATATCTGCACTTCCATGTTTATTGCAGCAGTATTCAAAGCACTTCTAGCTTTGAATCTGTTTTCTCTTCTGTAAAATGAGCTTCATAGCAGGACCTACCTCATAAAATTTTGTCACAGGTACGTAAAATGCTTTGTGTATCCCTGGCATAGAAGGGTTCAAGAAACAGCAGCTGTTTACCTCTTGCAGCCATAGTTTCTCCCCTAGTAACATAGAAATAACACCTGTGTTGTGAAAGATTTAAAAAGTATGCTACATGTTATTTTGCTGTCATGTTAGTATTTGCACAAAGAACACAAGTCCTTGAGGTTTATATTTGGTTACAGAAATGGATGAAGTAAATTGAATTTAAGTATGTTTGATACAAAATACAGTCTTCCTTTTACTCCCACCCCAAACTCCAACTCCTTTCCCATTTTTGTTGCATAATGCATACCTTCTGAGTACATGTCCGAAACGATTTAAAAATATATATCAAGATTTTCTTCATCGAGATTTTATAAATATGTGTGTGTGTGTATTACATATGTGTATGTATTTCTGTATAGCCTGCAGAACCATACTGATATGGTTTGGATCCATGTCCCCACCCATATCTCATGTTGAATTGTAATTCTCACTGTTGGAGATGAGGCCTGGTGGGAGGTGATTGGATCGGGGGGACGATTTCTTGTGAATGGTTTACAACCATCCTCTTGGTACTGTTCTCGTGATAGTGAATGAGTTCCTGTGAGATGTGGTCATTTAAAAATGTGTAGCACTTTCCCTTTCACTATCTCACTCCCATTCTGGTCATGTGATGTGCCTGCTCCTCCTTTGCCTTCTGCCATGATTGTAAGTTTCCTGAGGCCTCTTCAGAAGCCAGCAGATGCCAGCGTCATGTTTCCTGTACAGCCTACAGATCGATGAACCAATTAAACATCTTTTCTTTATAAATTACCCAGTCTCAGGTATTTCTTTAAGCAACACAAGCACAGACTAATACATATATAATCTGGGCTCAAAAACAAGAAAAAGTAATCAAGATCAGGAACAAAAAGAAGGCACAGGGAAGTGGGAGGAGCAGAGAAAAAAGCCTCCTAGAATAACTTTTTGGAGCAAAGCAACTCTCGTTAGCCTGTTGCTTTTATGCACTTGCGAAGCAGGCACACACATTGCAAGCACCCTGATTATTATTGTAAATATAGATCATCTCGATTACTTTAAGTGATGTTGCTTAATACAATGGATAACAGCTTTTTAAAACAGGCAGAGCTCTTTTCCAAGTATTGACGTTAGCAGGGCCTTGTAATTGTTCCTCTTAATAGTTAAACTGTCAGTACAGCCATAGATGTCCCCAGCAAGCATGACAGGGATTGCTGCTTTCCACAGTGCAACAGATTTACGGAAGCTGCCCTCTACTTGGGGTTGGTAGGGGTTGGTAGCGACCTTTGCCTCTAGCTTATTAGCTATGTGAGGTGGAAGATGGTTGGGAGAAGTGGCTGAAGGTCTGCTTAGGTAGGAAATCATTGTTTTAGCTCTTTCCTCACTTGAGTCTATAAAATTCAGTGTTAGAATTCACCTCAGTTCGCCTGCAAGGTAGGCATTGGTGCTGTCCTTATTCACAGGCAGAGAAAACACCTGCCTGGTTTGATTTTTTTAGATGAGAATCTGCAAGCCCTTTTCTCCTGCTCCAACTCATTCTCCAACTAGCCCTGACATGTTGCTATAAATATCAAGATTATCAAATCTGAATTCATATTTTGGCTAGATTTAATTCATTGGCCTTTTAGCAAAGAGTAGGACCTAGAGAAAAAGAGATCCAGGAAAGATGAGTTTCGGCAGGAACATTAAAGCTGAGATAGAAAAAGGAATTAGAAGCAGCAAAGAATGATAGGGGTGTTCAGGGTGCTGGGCAGAGGTAAGGAACGCTCAGAAAGGAAGAGAACACAAATAAAAACAGAACTTGCTAAACACGATTTTGCCCACTCCATCAGAGAAAACTTACCTTCATACCTATTAGAATGGCTTTCATCAAAAAGACAAAAGGTTAAACGTACCTGGAAAGTGTAAAAAAAAAAAAAAAAAGACAAAAGGTAAGTGTTGGTGAGTGTGGGAAGAAAAGGGAACCCTAGCACACTGTTGGTGGGAATGTAGATTGATTCAGCCACTGCAGAAAACAGCATGGAGGTTCCTAAAGAAATTAAAAATAGAGGTGGTGGACATGACCCAGAAATCCCTCTTCAGGGTATATACCCAAAGGAAATGAAATCACCACCTTGTAAAGATATCTGCATTTGCATATTTATTGCAGCATTATCCCCAATAGCTAAGATATGGAAAGAACTAAAGTGTCGATGTATGCATTGATAAAGAAATTGTAGTGTATATATACAATGGAATATTGTACATATACAATGGAATATTATTCAGCCTTAAAAAAGAAAGAGATCTTGTCATTTGCGACAACATGGATGAACCTAATTGACATTAGAAATGAAATAAGCCAGGAATAGAAAGAAAAATACTGCATGTCCTCCCTTACATGTGGAAACAACAAAAAGGAATTGAATACATTGAAATGGACTAGAATAGTGGTTACCAGCGGTGAGGAAAGCGGAAGGTGTAGGTCAGCAGGCACAAAGTTGCAGTTATGTAGGATGAATAAGTGTAGAGATCTAAAGTACAACTTGGGAAGTATAGTTAAGAATATTGTATTATATACTAGAAATTTGCTTGGAGAGTAGACTTTAGGTACCCTTACCACACATATAAAAAAGAAAGATGGCTGGGCATGGTGGCTCACACCTGTAATCCCAGCACTTTGGGAGGCCCAGGTGGGTGGATCACCTGAGGTCAGGAGTTCAAGACCAGCCTGGCCAACATGGAGAAACCCTGTCTCTATTAAAAATACAAAATTAGCCAGGCGTGGTGGCACATCCCTGTAATCCCAGCTACTTGGGAGGGAGAGGCTGAGGCAGGAGAATCACTTGAACCCAGGAGGCGGAGGTTGTGGTGAGCTGAGATCGTGCCACTGCACTCCAACCTGGGCAACAAGAGTGAAACTCCGCCTCAAAAAAAATAAATAAATAAATAAATAACAGAAAGATAACTGTATAAGGTGATGAATATGTTCCTTTGCTTTACTGTACTAATGACTTTGATATCTGTATATCAAAGCATCATACTATACATCTTAAATATAGAAAACAAAAAGTAAAAGAAGAAACTTACCTGGTCCTGCTAAGATTAAGTAATAAGAAAATGATTTGGTGGCCGGCTATTCTGTGTCCTATTTTATCACACTCTGAGTAATGTTTATTGAAGAGCAGGAAATACTAAAGATGTCGGGTTTTAGTGATAAAATGCAATGTGTCATGACTTTGAAGTTGGTTGTCTTAATTTTGCCTTTTTTCACCACCAGTAAGACTTGGAAAGCTGTGAATTCTTGGGTTTCTTTTTCCCCCACTGGCTATGTTCCCATATCCGTAATAATGCTTCCAGAAAGACCAAACTCAAGTCGTGTCCCGGATGTGACCAAGACTGGAATATTATCTAGGATCTGTATAAAACTCCCATTTTCCGAGAGAACCCTTGCTAAAATAGCTCATGTAGCTCCCGAAAGTCTGACTGGTTTTCTCGCTGCATGTGAAGTCTGTTTTGCCTTGACTGAGACCTGTACATGCTCCGCCTGTGTAGTAATTGGCCATGCCCTAGGGTTGAGGGGTAGGGTGGGGGACAACTGTATGTGTAAAAAAGAGATGACATCTTCATTTCCTGCAAAAGCTGTTTGTGTAAACTGTGTGAACTTTGCTGAGTTTAAATAAATACTTTGAAATCTGAGATGACTGGGATTTCTTTCCGCACTGTCTAGGGTAACAGTAAACTTCCAGCAAATGCTGATTTTTCAGGAAGTAGCTGCAGCCACCAGCTTCATCAAGAAAAAGAGGGGGAGAGTTTCTTCTCCACATGGCAGAAAACCTTAAGTCGATGTAGATAAATAACCACGTTCTAAAGCCCCTGGTTGTGCCTGAGTTCTATCAATGGTTGGAATAACAGTGTGAGCTCTGGGGTCAAAGAGAACTAGGTTTAGTACGAACAAGTTAGTAATTTCCTCTGTCTCTGTTTCTCACATGTAAAATGGAGTTAAGGATAACATGTGAAACAGTTCAACCAATTCTTAGAGCCCAGTAAGGGCTCACTGAATGGCAGATACCAGTATCATTATTGTTGCTCTTCATGTCTGTTATCATCATCATAATTATAATTCCTTAAATGGATATCTTTTTTTCATATGCTCCACAGATTTGGAGCTACTCCTCCCATCAGGCCGGGTGGATACACCTAAAACAGCACTCATAACAGCTAGGGCCAAGATGGCAAGTAGGTTGCTGCTCAGTGTTCCAACTCTGATTAGTTGATATTAGCTTCCTAGAAAGCTGGGTAGACCAGATTCTTAAGGCTGTTGATGAAATTAGCAGAGCATCATGATGGATTATCACTGTCTGCTATGACCATTGGAGGGAAAAGGGGAACACTCTGCTTACTTGCCAGCCCTGGCCTAGGAGCTGTGGACCATGGCTCAGATGCTTTCTGCCCCACTGAAACAGTGCAGAAAAGTACAAACATTCTCCCTTCTGGGCACTGTAATTCTACCAATCCTAATGTTAAAAGAGATTCTTATTGGTAACAGGCTATAACCCAGTTCAAGACCAGACACTGAAAAACTGTTGAGTTGTCTTTGTTTTCTCTTTTTTCAATTTTGTTCTGGGCTTCATCGCTTCCTTCTGGGCAAGCTATTTGGCTAGTAGACATGATTTGAGTAACATGGTGGTCTGCTTTTCCTCATTAATGATGATAATGGCATATATTTTCAGAGCTCTTAATTTATAAAATGCTCTTACATCCATTAGGATACTTTATATTCAACTCTTTGGCATGCAGAAAGCACAGAAGGAAGTGAAGGCAAACTGGTGTGGTTACTTCTCAAGTCTCAACTCAAGCTCATTGATGATTCTAGCACATATGTTTTGTTTCCAAAGTGCTGGCGTTTCACTTCCAGGGTAATGGTATCTGCCTCTTGCTGTGATCCTTCCTCTGGTTTCTTGACTCCTTAATTAATTTTCCTTTCATTTATAATTCTTCCCCATGTAATACATGTTTGCCTGTTGTTCAAATATTGCCCTCACATTGTGCCGCATGCCCCAGTATTTCCTCAGTGAGTCACTATGGATCTCAGGGCCAATTTTGTTCCCAAGACAAAATGCCAAGGCCAAGATGAGTTCCAGTTTTGTGCTAATAATTTCAAATTCTTAAGGCTTGGAAACGCCCCCAAGGTACCAGATACCAAATGATCAAATGGTGGCCTCTGTGGAAGGCAGGCTCTCCATCCTTCGGTAAAGCAAAGGACTGTTTTCCTGTCCTTTTAGATAGCTTCTATTTCAGAAGTATAATCTGTTTTCTCCCACTCATCCAGTCTCAGGAGATTTGGAACTATTTTGCAATAAAAGATGTGTAAGGCTGACCCTCTCTGCCTACGCTGCTCTCTGCTTAAATGGGTTGAGTCAGTATTTCCTCTTTTTCTAATTCAGCAATGGGCCAGCTGGTTTTGTCTGATAGACTAAGACCCAATTGAATGACCTTCTTTCTCACCAGGAAAAGAATAGAGGTAAGCAATTATTTAATTAATGGAATCAGAGAAGACTGTGAAGCATATAAATTCAGATTCTAAAATTTCTTTCTTTCATAGCAATATTTTGAGACATTTCTTTAGGAGAGTTGATTTGTTTCCATTGTGAAAATTTGTATTACATAACACAGAAACTATGTCTTGCAGTCCATTGATTGTATGACAACCTAGAGGGATCAAAATTATTTAGATGAGAAAATAAAAAAATATTAGTTGTTGTTTAAATGGCTGCAAAGCCCAACAAAAAGCTATTTAGACTGCATGTCCTAAATAATCTCTTATATAATTGTTTTCACAGTGTTAGGGTTTGATATTATATTTGCAGTTTACATTAAAAGGTACTATAAGAAACAAGTATATGAAAACTAATTTTGTATTTAATATGGGGATATGATTTGAATACATTTTTCACCATAACTCAGTGTCCTTCTATGATGCCCCACCCAAAACATTTCTTAAAGAACTAAGTTTCATAAGAAACAGTACTTCTCTTAAAGAACTGATCAATTTTCTCCTCAACGCCAATGACAAATAATAACTAATTGAATATCTCTTTTATGCAGTTGTTTTGCTTGTTAGGAATTTCAAAGAAGTGTGGTTCAACTTCAGTATGAAACTGTAAATATATTCTGGAGTTAGAAATGGCTCAAGCATTACAGACCTGTAGTATCTCATTCATAAGAAGGCCGGAAATAGGTGACTGCTGGTGCTGGTACTATTGCTCATTGATGTCATCAAAACACAGGCCTTTTCCTTCTATTTTTCTGCTCTTCTGTCTTTGGCTGTTGTCTTTTCGGTCCAATGGTTGGTGCCTCATGTCACCTGATTGTGGCCACAGAAGCAAACCATATATCCACATTCAAGTCAGAAAGAAAGAGAAGTGGGCCAGCAAGATCTCTTCTCCCTGTTCATAATAAAAGAACACAGAAGCTTTTCCAGAACTAATCTACTTATATCTCACTGGCATTTCTGGATCACATAACTGTCCAACAAACTCACAATTATGTTAGCCAAAAGAGGTGAAGAGTGGGTAGAAAATTAACAGCTATAACAACGTATTTTCCGTGGTTCTCTTTTTTATAAGTATTCTTAAAGTCAGTCTTAAATCTAAGGAACAGAGAAAAGTTTAAGATATGGCCCCTGCTTTCTTTCTATCAGCTTAGCCTTCAATGGGGAGGTGATTCATGAATGGAAAATTAAATAATAATGAGACAATAATAACATTACAAGTCAATAGCACATGAGGTACGAAATGCAATTCATGATGAACTACCAAGCAAATGGTCTAGTCAATGTTGAAGGATATCGCTATGATTGGGGATGAACAGGATTGATTTCAAAGAACAAGAAGAGTTTGATATAAATCTTACAAAGGAATAAAAGACATAACTGAATCTCTTCTTTTGTCATTTGGTCCAGAGATACGTGTATTCTGATGTAATTTTTGCTTGAAAACACACCATCCTCTTCAATTTAGAATCAACCTTGGACTTTTAGAGATTTGTTGAGGATCCATGGTCCTTCAGTTGCCTGAAAATCAAAAGTCCAGAGATAGTATAAAATAGCATAAAAAGAAAAAGAAGGTAGCTAATGTAAAGAACTAATGTGTAAGTGTGTCTTTGGAATACAGGAATTGGAAGACCTTAGCAGAGAGGATAGCAGGAAGTTTGAACTGTGAACACATGCAGAACAGTTCCAGTTGACATTTACTAGCTGTGTAATCCTGGACAAACTGTTTAACTTCTTCCATCTTGGATTTTCTCATATGCAAAATGAAGATGATAATTTTCCTCACATTGATTTATAGAGATTATATATAAGCTAATACCATAGAAAGTGCTGTGTAAACTTAATATTAAGGTACAAAGTATTATTTAAAAGTGATATTCATTTCAGTGATAATCTTTATATATATTTGATGATATATATCTATATATATTCTACGATGCCCCACCCAAGACATTTCTTAAGAACTATCACTGCATCAAAATGCCCACCCAATAACTAGGTTCTCCATTGATTTCACACCTAGTATTGGAGACCAAAGCTAACATATCAACTTAGGCCAGGGTTAAACAAACATTGGTCTCTGACACAGCAGGCAAGGATCAGGTGTTCTGGTTCTCCCAAGGGTTAGCTGCCTTTCCTCTTGGGTCTGTCAGCTTAGAGAAATTCTCAGCTGTCAGGATCAGTGGGGTTCATTCCAGGTCTGCACATAATACTGGTTTAACAAGAAATCATGCCCATGTTAGAAGTGGGTTGTTAACAGAGCAAGCTCTTACCTTTACATTTTCTTGACATCACATCAGTAAAAATGGAATGGACCTCCTATAAGAAAGGTTATGGGATAAGAACAGCATACTGGTGTTCAATAGTAGCTCAATCTGTATTTCCTAGATTTGTTCATGGAAAACTTAATAATTTTGGAAATGATAGAGTGATGGGAACCCTGCAAGCTATCTTACCACTAGCCTCATGAAATAATTAACAAAATGAGAAAATAACCCATTCATATATTTTAAAGAAACTCCCACATGGAGCACTAGGTACTACATAGAATGCAGACATTTTCCTCCAGTCCTAGTGCTGTAGATAGGCAGTAAAGGGAAGAAGAATACACAAGCAAGTCTAAAATAGAACCCAATGGGTCCCATCCATTCTATTTTGGGGAAATTCAACTAAGTGGGTACTGGGTTTATAAAAGTGTTAATAATGAATGTTATATGAAAACTTGTGGGTGTCCATTTATTGGACCCACACTACTGGCCCAAAAAGAAATTAATATTGCAGACAATGAGAGGTTGTATCTGAGCATATGCCTCATATACTTATACTTAACCGGCTGTTATAGTCTTAGGGCTCGGCATCCAGAGAAATTCCAGACATGGTACTCATTCTCATTACTGTCTGCTAAGCTGATATTTAGCTGGAATAAAGGACTTTAAGCAAATAGTCCAGATGGGATACTGACATTGACCATGTAGAATAATCATTTCAATAAATCCCAAGTACATTTAAACCACTATTTTCCTGGACATGCTAAAATTTCCAAGTCTATTGCTAGGAAAAGAAATGAAATTTTATGTCTATTGCATTGCTCTATGACACTCTTCATAAATTAGTCATTCTCTAGGCACCTTGGGGGAATAAAATTAACATGTTTTTAGGTACTCACTAAGTGCCCAGATCTTACATATGCCACCTGACTTAATCCTTGTAGTCAGTTCAAGGCTAGGTGTTGTTATCATGTTTTCACAAATAAAGTGAAATCTGGGAAGGTCATCCATTTGACTCAAAATCACAAAGAGATATCATGGGCATTCTAAGGAGAACTTACCAATTGCACAAGCTCTTATCTGCATTGATTTTGAAGATAATTATTCTTCCACTATAGTACATTGTCTATGAGTAGACAATTAAGAATGCTTATATGTATATATTGTATACATACATGTATATATTGCCTTCTTTTGACTACAGTGTCTAAGAAATAGGGTTAGGAGGAATTGTGACAAATTGGATTTTCTAATTACCTGAGGGTTAGTATTTCCTCTGAAAACTTTGTTAAAACTATTTCTGAAAGGAATCTACTCTGTCCATTGGCTTAGCAGAATATAGTGACTAAGACAACCTTTTCTCTGATCATATTATAGTGTTAAGCAGATTTTTGCTCCAATGTCACCTAGTCACAAAGTCATCCTAAGGCTACCCTGGGTAAAGCAGTACCATCACTCCCACTCTCTCCTTGCATTGCTCTACTTTTCTGTTCACAGCACTTACTACTAACTGTTATATTACAAATTTATTTGTTTACTTTCTGTCCACCCCTCTCCCATAGAATGTAAGCTCTATAAGAGAGGACTCTAGTATATCCAGAGTTGTTTCTCCAGGGCTGAGAATGGGTACACGGAATATAGTAGGCACTAACACAATGTTTATCGAATGAATAAATCCAATTCATATTAGTTTTAATTATTTGGTCCTGCTGCCACAAATACATAGGGCTGAATCTGTGTGGGTGACACTCCTGTCACCTATTAGTTGGTACCTGGAGTTGGAGCTATTGATAATACAGCTTTTGCCATTTTACCTGACTCTTCCTTATGCAAATAGACACAGAGCTATAATTTCAGCAAATTAAGGCTTCTGGTCAGTTGGAAGTGGTCCATCTGGCTATCAAGGTTTCCTATAATTTGAGGAAAATGATTGGTTTCTTGTGTGCTGTTTCTTATATCATGCAGTATTTTATCCTGAGCCTACGCCAGGTAAACACATTCGCTCTTCAACAAAGGGCATAACCTTTGAACTACTCAATTCTAAAGAAAGCAGGTTCCAATCTTCTTAATGTACTCTTCAAAGAGATTCCTGAAAGGGGAGTATCCTTGAAGAAGGCGTCCAATTGCCGTTTTCTTTCTCTCATTCTTTCTGAAATGCTATTACCAGCACAATCACTACCCTGCTGTATGACCCTGGTTAAGTGTTGTTGCTTTTTCTTGCTTATAAAAAGTAATCCACATGCTGATTTGTAGAAGATAGGGTGAAGATGACTGAGTGATAAGAGATGGAGAAAAATTTTTTGTGAATAATACCAAAAATAGTTGGCAGCTTACACCAGGACTTTGAACGGTGAATTAAATAAATGGAGTGGTCATAGCAAAGATGCATATGTGTTTTGAGCGTGAAATGGGCCCCAATTGCTAGGTGAAACCAAATTCTATCATTGTCTCCAGGTTGTAAATCCAATGTATTTAAAAGCATGGACCAGCCTTCAGCGTGTCTGAACACCTTCATGAAAACCTTTCTAAGCGACCCAGTATCATCATGGGAGGCAGTTACGTGGGGGCTAAGAGCCTGGGCTCTCCAACCAGACTGCTTGGACTTCAATCCTGGTCTGACACTTACTGGCTGGATGACTTTGGGCGAACATTATTTTACAATAAAAGTCAGGTCATGGCTCTTGCTGCTCAAATCCTTGTCATGGCTCCCCAAGACTTTAGCACGGTCCACATGGGTGCATTTTGGCTCCATCTGGGACCTCCTTTCAGCCCACTCTCCCTCTTGCTCTTTGTGCTTCAGTCTCAGGGATCTTCTAGTTGGGCACATTTCAAGGCTTATGCCCTTGCTGGTCCTTCACCTAGATTGCTCTTGCCCACTTATTCTCATAGCCTACTCTCTTGTTTCCTTAAGACCTCTGCTCAACTCTCACCTCCTCAGCAACGTTTGGTCAGAACATCTTTCTAAAATAGCATCTCTCTGACACTCTCTACTTCCCACCCATCTTTATGTAACACTTATTATCCCTGAGCTTGTATTATAAATGTAGATCTTTCTTGTCTGGGCTGCACCCCACCCATCCCAACCCTAAGTATAAGCATTGTGAGGTTATGGACATTGTTTTATCCGCTGTGGGAGTCCAAGACCTTGAATAATGCCTAGCACATACTAGGTGCTCAATGTAGGAATGAATACTTGATTTAAATTATGTCTATCAGAGCTTCTTTCTTGTTGATTTAAAATTGGGCCCAAAGAGACTAAGTTATCAGCATATGCTACAACTGTCAAGTCCAATAGTTTCAAAAGCTGAGGCTCCAGTGTTGGGAAAGCAATTACTGGTCACCCTTAAACAAAGGAATAAGGTCAGGAAGAGACAGGTATAGAAAGGGATATTTGCGGATGGCCCCATTTTCAGTGCTGTAGTTCTTCTGATTCCTTTTCTTAAGAGGCTTGAGCAGATTTCTGTTTCTTGCAATCAAAGAGTCCCCAGCTAATACAGGGGTGAAGTGAATTGTTAAGTTTTTGAGGTCCTAGAGAACAGAGAAAATTCTGGTGTACTTTTTTATATTTCTGTCTCTGAAGTCCATCACATACATATTTCAAGTATATATTTGACGAATAATTAACAAATAAAAATGTTTTAACATGGAATGCCATAATATAGATGCAACAACCCCTATCTTACCCTCTTAAGGCAGTGTTTCTCTTTTCTGCTTCCTTCCTGTGTTTTCCCGTTATCCAGGTACTCTCAGTCCCTCACCAAACACTCTCCTCAGCATCATTGCAAGGGACTCATAAAAAGGTTATTCCGTACAAAGCCTCTACACACTAGGCATATGCCAAGTTCTGACGAAGAGGAAATGAAGTTTCAGTGTGTCTCAGATCAAAATATGAATGTCCATTGCCTCACAGGGAGAAGTTCTATTATCTTTAATACTTTCGTAGGTTTATGAATTTATATGTTCAAACAGTTGACTTTGAATTATTTTGTGGTTGTTTACTTTCTAAATGGTCATACCGGTTTTAGTACCAAGTGTTGAAGTAAGAATTCTACTCTTCGGTATCAAAAAGAAGGTATTTGACAGACAAAAATCAGGGCTTGCATTGCAACACTTAATTGCAACAACAACCAACATTGTTCTTTTACGTGATCTAATCCATACTCGAATCCCTGATTCCACCTCTTCATCACATGTACACTAACTATAATCCCATCCAAGACAGAATTTCATTTTGCTAGACTGTTGGCCTCATCA